GCGGAGAGTCATAATCAAATTTTAACTCTTCAATATAAGATAAAAAGATTGAATAAAATTCTAAACCAAAGAATCAGTGATGAAGCAGCTGAATTTCTGCGTTAATTCACAGAGACGCAAAATGAAGTTAAGGAGCTTAATAAAAGGATTAATTTAGAAACTACTAGTAGGCCCGTGCAAAAAAATCGCACAGTATATTGTTATCAAATGCCATATCAATAAGAAAATAAAATAATTCAACCTATCAAAAGATAAAGAAATCAAATGTTACTTTATCGATAAATATAATCGACAAAGAAAACAAAAATTAATTTAAATCTTCATTTTTGTTTGGAACCAACATGTTTACAAATTTCAGTAAGCTGTATCTTTGCTAAAAATGTCCAATTTCAATGGTTTTTTTCCTATTGTAGGGAATTAAGTAATCTTTTATATAATCACGGGTATAACCAAGGGAAAAGTGTGTAAGTTTTTTAGTTATTCGCAAATAATGTTAGTTTTCTCGGAGGAACTATCCGGGTCTTGCTGTACGCATCAAACTCTTCTAGATCCAATTTGTCCCGTATCGATCTACAGACCTACCACTGTTCAGGTATCGAAGCCTAGCAAAATGTTTGTATCAACTTTATTTATTTTAGAAAGAAAAACAAAAGTGGAGAACACGATTCGCTAACCCCCCGTGAAATTCTGAATCCAACGGACCCCATTCATGGTATTTGAGCACGACAGGAGCTTATATTTGGTACAAAACCGATTTCGAGCCTTACTGTAATAATATATGTACGGATGAATCATTCTACTTTTAAAAATGCTTCAGTGAATACAAGAAACAACTATGAATGACATAGAGTAAACTAACGCAATTGGACTCGGAAACTGGAAGTGACATCTTTATGGAACATTAAAAACTAAAAAGATAATTAGAAATTGCCCGGAAAGATGCTGAATGGGCATGGCAAGAAGGAGGAATTCGCGTCTTCCTACTGAATTCCTAGAGAATTCCTAACATAACCCAAATTGAGGACAATTTGGTATAGGATGGGCGAATGTCAACTATCGATTCAGAAATAATAGTCATGTGATTAATTATTATAAAATAAAAATCATATGTAACCTTGATAGAGGTTATAGAGTGCGTGTAAATGTGAGCAATTGTCTTTTTTTTAATAATGTCGGTTAAAACACTTAAGTAATTCTTATTTAACGATAAAGGAGTTAACAAAAAGAATCCTATTTCTAGATAATGAGGGTTGATTAAAATTCAAAGTATCACGTTAAAGACAGCTTTTATTGATAGGAATTTTATAAACATTTTTAATAATGTTAACACACAATAGAATTTTTTTTTTTTTTAACTTTCTTTATTGAATATTAATACATTCTGCCACATTGAAGGGCATTAATATTAAGGCTACATGATTCATTCAATTAATATCAATAATAAAGAAAAAGATATAAAACAATAAAATAAGTAAATTGGTATGCCTGTGTGCAAAAAAATAATGAAATAATAGATAAAAGCCAGATGAAATTAAAGTAAATAAATCACATTCACATCTATGTACAATATTCACATTCACCCAGGGGACTCTGAGTCATGCCTTATTCCCCGACGTGGAAGCCAAGGCAGGACTCCAGGAGATCCCAGTGCTTCTCTCTCAGCCGCGTCACTGTTATTTTAAACCAGTGGAAACTGATGGAGGGCACTATAGCAATAGAATTATTAAAGTTCTCAATTTATAACATATGGAAATTGTATCAATATGTATTAAATCTACTTAAATTTATTCTACAACAGTCCATTTTAAGTGTAAATTTTAAACATATCAAATCCAATTTTCAAGTTATCAAAACAGTACAAATCATTCTTCTTACTATAAAAGTAAAATATTTTCCGAAGTAATATGTTTTTTAAAAATATTTATTTATTGAGAAAAAATACATTTTGCTTCAATTAAGGTCATTAGTATTTGAGTTGCGAGAGACTCATTCGTAACATATATACAATAACAAAAAAATAATAGAACAATTATAACAAAAGAAAAGAAAACTTAGTAAAACAGAAGAAATAAAACATAAGACAACATTAAATAAAAATAAAAATAATAATTCATAATTATTAACAATATTTACAGTCAGCCGAGGGAGGTCCAAGTACCCACGTGTGGAGGATAAGGCAAGACTCTATGAGATCCACTTCTCTCACAGCCGCTTCATAATTTATTTTCTATTGAGAGATTAGAGTTTCTGTTAAGTAGTCTATATAATTGGCCAAAGCGTCTATTAAGTTCTTGTCTTTTAAGTCTTATATGGGGTTCCATGTTAGTCTTTTGTCTAAAAGGAATCGAAGATACCGAACTGTGTCGGAAATTGAAAGAGGTACAGAGTTGAAAAGGTTAGGTGGACAGGATCTGCGTCGGAGGGTAAAGGTGACATGCTTGTATTTGGATTCGTTAATTCGGATGAGCCAATAGATGCACTACTGCTCAATTAAAGAGATGTGTTTTTGTAGGTTTAGGGATACTGATTCAGGGTATGGGTGGAATGACAGGATGGTGGTGTCGTCAGCGAATGTTGCTAGGAGGGTATCGGGATTTGTTGAGATGTCAGCAGTGAAGGATGTAGAGAACTGGGCCCAAGACACTGCCTTGTGGAACACCAGCTTCAACTGGATAATGATTGGAGAATTCAGTATCAGAGGAAAATGAGTTGTGCGGAGGAAACAGTTGTATAAGTATGTGAGGAATATCATTGCTTTTTTGAGAAGTTTTCTAAGGATCTGGGAAGAAAGGAGATCGTGTCCAAGGGGTTTTCGAGGTTTTAGGTTGTTTATAAGGAATTTGACCTCAGAGGGATTGGCTGCTTTAGCAGACAAGGAGAGAGGAATCGGCGAAGAGAGGAATTATTTAATTTCAGCAATGTAGGTGGGATGGGGTTCAGGGGGAGGAGTGAATGTGTTGGATAGGTGTTAAGCAAATTCTTCTACTCTAGTCTCATCTGACGAAGCCCAGGTTCCATCATCGCATCGGAGGGGGTGAGAAATAGAGTGGTGTTTAAGGATTTTTTTGGTCACTTTCCAGGGGTAATTGTCATCGGTAGGGAGGGCAGAAAGGTAGGAACTATAGGATTGGAATCTAAAGGAAGCCAGTTCTTTTTTAACCTGTTTGGAATTATAATTGTATAATTTCCGATCATCAGGATGCCTGGTACTTTACCAGGGTCCTAGATTGGCGTTTGGATTTAATAAGGGCAAAGGATTATTTTTAAGGGTTTTTTCGGAAGGGAGTGATGAGGATGCAGTCCAGACTGCTTGTTGGATCAAGGTGGTAAAGCAACTCACTGCATTATCTAGGTCTTCAGAGGTTTTTAGAGGTTCTCAAAGGTTTATTAGATCTTTTATTGTCTGACATTCGGTTAATTATTTAATAAAATTTAATTAATAAAAATTAGTTAAACAAATTATGTTCTTTAACATATTTGGTCCATCATTAATTAATTGGATTACTTTTCAGAAAGGCTGGTGTGTGTTTATCGTTCTTTCTAATTACCAAACATTACCTGTGATTATAATGACATAAATAGGTGGCATGATTAAAATAACTTTTATTTACAAACTTATTTATTAGTTAATAAAGATTATAGATACATTATATTTCCAAGAATTAATGAATTCAACAATTGGTTGTGAAGGCATTATTTAAGATGGACTGTTTTGAAAATTTATATTGCCATGAAATATTATAGCATCTTTAAAATTAATTGTTGGGAATAAAACTTATCGATTGTATATGAAGTGGTGTAGTTGGTAGATGTCATCGCTGCATCTGCGAAGTTGAGACCATCTGGTCATGGTTCATGTAGGGCCAAGGCTTCAGTCCCCAAGCCGAATCTCCACATCAGACACCTCCTCAGGGCCGGCACCATATCAGACCTCTTCTCCAGGCCGGGCAGCAGGTACACGACTGTTCCCTCTTTCTCGTAGGTGCTTTTTCCCTCCCTTGCTTAGACAAGCCTCCGATCCTTTCGAAACATGCCCACATAAGACCAGTGTCGGTCCTTTGGTGTTTAGGCCGACCTCTGTCCTTAAGTGTTTCATTACCCATCACAAAAGGTTGCTAGGGGGTCTCAGATAACCGGAACACTTTCTGAGCAACCACTTTCCCACCGGTAACCGGATACATGTTAGCAATTATTTCTTATACCTATTATACCTAGACTATATTTCTTCATTCGAAATAATTAAATATATGCCACATGTGGTCCTTAAAATACATAGCACTATCCATTGGTAGCACTCTATTAATATATTTACATAAGTAGATCACGAGGCCATCTTCTTTTCAGACGCCTCGGAGGGTTATCAGGGCTCGAGGAGGAAGGAAGGTTTGAAACGAAAGGGTTCGTTGGGATTGGGCCAAATCGGAAACATATGGAACATTAAGGTCTTTATGGATGCGTAAAGTATGGGACGCGTTTGATGTTAGAGAATTTTTTTCTTCACCACAGTTCTAGTACGTCAGTCGAAATAGGTTTCAGGATTGTCTTTTAGAGTGTTCCACGCGAGTTATCTGTCTAAGAGAAAGCCAAAATACTGGGCTTTGTCTGAGAAAGGAAGCTGGATGGAGTTAAAATGAACTGGTTGACAGGATTTACGACAAAGGGTGAAGGTAATGTGTTTGTATTTGGATTCGTTTACCGTATTGCGCCATTTTTTTCACCAGTGTTCAATCAGGGAGAGGTGTATTTGTAGGTTTAAGTAAGCTGTTTTAGGATCTGAGTTGGTTAAAAGGATAGCAGCGTCATCAGCGAATGTTGCCAGAAGGGTATCGAGGTGAAGAGGGAAATAAAAAAAAGTTTTTGTAGTCATCGGCAATTTATTTAGAAAATCAAAATCAGTGATTATCTTTATATTCCTTCCAATAACTGCGACGTACTGAAGCTATATATGTAATAGACCTATATACGGGCAAAAATAAGCAACAGGAAATGATTGGCTCACATCACTGACCTTGAATTATACTCGTAGGATTTGGTTTGTTACGACAAACATGCCAGTAATCCCAACAGCAATCTTCATGAGGTGAAGAATGGGACTTTTCGCAAAAATCATCACAATAACACTTGGTAAGCCCTCCGTCCCTATCCATTGAGCATTCATCTTGTCGTCCATTGCAGCAAGTCGTTTTCGGTCCACCACAAAATGGGCGCTGTCCCTCATCCCCTGCATAAAATTGCCCTTCTGCTTTATCTACTCCAGTCATTCTATCGCCCTGAAAAATAATAAATAATTAGTAAATTAAGTATAAACTAAACAACACTGAAAGAAAAAAATGTAAATGTAACTAATTGAGACGTTAAAGAAAATTTGGACATTCATGACAAATTTACGAACTTCTGACATATGATCAGTAGAATTCGCACAAATCTCGGGGAGGGGGGTGAGCTCCTTAAGAAGCTATTGTGAATTCTTGCCCTCCTACCCATTTCGTTTTTTACCGTAGTTTATATTGGTTATGAGTCTGATGATTAAGCTTCTTTTCCAATATAGACACAAATGTGATCCTGCACGACAGCAGCTCCGACCTTAATATGTTCTTGTCCTAATTATATCCTGATCTAATTCCATTTAATTCCTGCACCAGAAAGATGACTTCGTTGTCATAGAAATACTAGAGAAAACCAATGATTCAGGATTTTTCCGGTTTTGAGTTTTCGAAATTAATCGTTTTTATCATAATAGATACGATGGAGTGTTTTATAAACGAGGACTCATTACATACAGCTTCCAAGAGATTGATAACGACGATTATATTGATGACATATTATAATTTTGATACTAACTAAAACCTAGTCATAACAGCACAGTAAAAATACTATTACACTTTGTTATGTAAAACCTGTCAGATTTGCGTAATTTCTATATTATTAATCCTGCGATAGTGTATATTATTATTATCAATTATCTTTTTTTTTTTAGATTTACAATGTTGTACATATATAAAAGATAATACTTTTATATAACCGGGTCTTGGTAAAAAATGGCTCAAGCTAAATTAAATTTACTATGCATCAATTCAGTAATAAAACACACCGCTTTTAATCCATAACAGCAACAAATTTATCCCAAACAATGACTTAAAAAAACAATGTTAATGGCATAACTCGAAATACCAACCAATTTATAATTAGTTCTAAGTTAACCCGCCCTTTCTACACAAATATGAAGAACTTTTGCTATTCTATTAGCTCTCAACAACATCATAACTCCATATAAATATTGAAAAATCAACCATTGTGTTAATAAGCGTCACCAACTATTATATTAGAATCATTTTTTTTTTATTACTTATTTATGATATTTACAACTGTATTAAGAATAAAAATACGTTCAGTAAATGTGATAACAGTAAATAATAACATGAAAACACTTGTTGAGAAACTAGTAGCACTCTAAAAAATGTATTTACTATCTTGAGGCTATTTTCTTTTAGGCGCCTCGGAGGGTTATCAATGATCGAAGAGAAATCAAGGTTAGAAACGAGAAGGATGGTTCTGAAGTTTATTATGGAAGGATTGGTGTCTGGATTGAACCAAATCGGAAACATAAGGAACATCCGTTATGGATGATTTTATTTGTGACAAAGTAAGGAGAATTGAGGGTATTACAAAGGATTTTGGATTGTAAGGATTGGATACGAGAGGAATTCGATGGTTTAGTGGAGCCCCAAACTCCATATTTCCAAATTAGCCTTATTATAGTCATGTAAATGAGTCATTTGTAATATATTGAAAGTTTAGTTAGCGTTTGTCTAGTAGGTACTGGAGTAGTCGAAAACGCCCCAAATCTCAACTCCGTAAGTCCAAATAAGTCTTATTGTAGTCATGTATATTTTGTAATTAACTGAAAGCTTAGAGCGTTTGTTTTGTACAGGGTATCCAAAATACCCAAATTCTCTCAACGAGGTTCAAAATGGAGTTAAATAATTCTCCTGTTCAAAACTAAAAGAGCATTATTGTATAGAAATCGCAATGGGTAAATTTTTAAATCTCGAGCTTCCTACTGGGTTTAGAAAAAAAATGTTAGATAATTTTAAGTTGTTTATGATTGAGTATAACCATTTTAATCTGCGTTGCTCTAAAAAGTAGATATTTAGCTTAAACCAAAAAAAGTTCTAAATTTCAATGGTTTTTGAAGCACTGCAGCGATCCCACATGACATTCAAGGCCGGAAACAGGGACTTTTTATATTCACTGCACACCTAACAATATAAAAAAGAAATTTGAATTAGCCGACCTTTTTCAAGGTATCATGACTAATTTAATGCTAAACCGCTAAGAATATTCATGTTTCTACCCCCTTGTTCAGAAGGGAACCCCTATCCAGGCCAGGTTGGCTAGTCGGCGATCGCCAAGGGGTCCCGAATGGGTGAGCACGAATTAGGTCTCGAAATCCTAAAAAAGATTAAATTGAGTCCCGCAGTATCTTTTGGACAGCACGAGTTGGGTCCCAAACCTTTATCAGATAAGCCAAGGGCCAGACCCTTTAATCAGGTACACAAAAAGGCTAAGAAAAATTCAGTAAGACGGTCTGGTGAATGTTGTAGATATGATTTACCATAAATGCGGACTAGCGAGGGGAATCTACAGTCAGTGGGCCACCGATATTAACCAAATTTTCCACAGTCATTTTGAATTGTTATTTATCACATTGACATGCCCGGCGTTCGTTCTAATTGGTCTTGGAGGCGACAAAAAAATATCTTGTTTTTAAGATAATTTAATAAAAAATTTTGTTTCCGATAGTTGGTATTATTAGATCATTTATTTTCGGAATTACATCTTTCATATTAATAGATTTTCATGAATTCAACAATTGAAAAATGAACCACATCTAACTTACATAAGGACAAAAACTATATCAAGATATTAAAAAAAAAAAAAAAAAAAAAAAAAAAAATTGACCAAAAATCTTATTCCGTTGGTTGTTTTGATTTCTGGGCGCAAACCATCTAGGTCATCAACGACCGATCAACTAAATAACACAACTTTTAAACTATTTAGATGGAGGGTTAAAAAAATCAATTAAATAAACAAAGAAAGAAGGCAGTGGATCAGCTGATGAGAAGGTTGTCTCCTCAACTCCTCTCTCAGTTTTTACCAATTTTATAGCGGAATCTCTCTGATTATTCACGTGATACAGTTAAGTGTATATCAGAGCAGTTGATATTTACTGTTGGCATCTTTTTTTTGTTATTTTAAAAAAAAAAAAAAAAATTTTTTTTTTTTTATTTATTTATTTATTTTTCTCTTATGATATGCGGTATGATCAGCAAGTGATGGCCAGTAAGGTGCCCAAGAGGTCTCGGTCAGACGGAGTTAGCTCACCAGCCAAACAAAGGACTCGTCGCTGCCTACGAGAAATACCTCCAGTGACCAAAATGAACACTTCAGAACCAGAACCTCAGCCCCAACCAGGTACGTCTGCACAAGAAACGATTGAAGAATCACCTTTCTTTACTCCAAACCCCTACCAAGTGCTTCAAAATGACAGAGAAGTAATGGAGTCTGCAGCAATACCCAGAGAACCAAAGCCTCCTCCGATATTTGTGAAAAATATAAAAAATTTCCAGATGTTCTGCACCCAACTAAATAAAATCTGCTCTGGCAGTTATTCATGCCTTAACAGGACCAATGACACCAAAATAACACCTGATTCTGCAGAAGCCTACCGAAAAATAGTGAAGTACTTATCAGAAACAAATGCGAATTTTCACACTTACCAGCTGAGGCAGGAAAGAGCTTTACGAGTAGTGATAAGAAATTTACATTCCTCAACCCCCACTGAAGTTATTAAAGAAGAACTAACGACGCTTGGTTTCAATGTACGCCAGGTAACAAACGTTTTGAAGGAGGACAGGGAGCAGCCAGGATTACGAAATAGGATCCCACTACCATTGTTTTTCGTGGACTTGGAGCCATCACCAGGTATCGAAAAAATATATGATATCACAAGAATATACTACACAATGGTGAAAGTTGAGAAGCCATATCCCAAGAGAGACATCGTGCAGTGCCATAATTGTCAGACCTATGGCCACACGAAGACATATTGCCACCATCTGCCGCGTTGCGTGAAGTGCGGTGAACAGCACAAATCTGTAGAGTGCACCAAACCTATACAAGATCCAGCAGTATGTGCCCTATGCTTGGAGGGACACCCGGCCAACTACAAAGGCTGCCAAATTTACAAGAATCTCAAAACCAGACACCAGAAAAACCGGATTCAAGATGAAGCACTAAGAACAAGAAGAGAGAGAGAGCCTTCCAGAATTGTAAACAATGATGTATCATTCTCCCAACTACTTAGAGGTAAGACTTTAACCGATAAATGTCAAGCCCTGCCACAACAACAACCTCAAACCCAACCTCAAAATCCTCTTCATCCTAATATACCTAACCACCAACAACAAATTCCTCATATTCCTCCTCCTTCAAATGCAACAGATCTCACAAGTTTGTTAGCATCTTTCCTCACCGATTTCAAATCCCTTGTTACTCCACTCATATCACTCCTCACGAATCTCGTATCTCACCTCATCCCTCCTTTGAAAAATCCTTAAATGACTCACATCCCTAAACCCATATCCATTCTCCTTTGGAATGCGAATGGTGTTAGAAATCATACAGACGAACTATCTACTTTACTACTTGACAAGAACATTGATGTGGCACTAATTACTGAAACTCGACTAACCACTAAACAGCACTTCAATATACCACAATACCTGACATATCGTACTGACCACCCTGACGGAAAAGCACATGCCGGTACTGCTGTAATTGTACACCAATCCCTCTCCCATCACGTACTCCCATTACCAATACATGATTTCCTACAGTCCACCGCTATCGTGATAAAAACCTTCTCCTTTCCGGTCACTCTTGCATCAGCGTATTGCCCTCCTAACCGATCCATATCCAATGCCCAATTCAGTTCTCTCCTCGACTCCTTAGGACATCACTTCATCTTGGGTGCAGACCTAAATGCCAAGCACCAACAATGGGGTTCCAGAACCACGAATTCTCGTGGCCGAACCCTGCTGTCTGCACTCAATTCCCAACGTTTTCACCTCCTTTCCCCCAACTCTCCTACCTACTGGCCCACAGATCCCAACCGTAATCCTGATCTTCTTGATTTCTTTATCCACAGCGGCTTAAGTCCCCTCAATTGTTCCATTACACGTCTAAATGAACTTTCCTCTGACCATAGTCCTCTAATCCTTAATGTTTCACTTGAACCTGTTCCCAAACCTTCTCCACCGTCATTCATTAGGGGCCCAGTAAACTGGGACCTTTTCCGCCAAATAATCTCCGATAATATTGATCTCAACATATCCCTCA